TCTAAACGGAAAACTGGAAGCATTCCCATTAAAATCAGAGACCAGACAAGGATGTCCACTATCTCCACTCCTTTTCAATACAGTGCTTGAAACTCTTGTTACAGCAATGAGACAGGAGAAGGAAATTAAAGGAGTACTAATTAGAAAAGAAGAGGTCAAACTATCACTTTTTGCAGATGATATGATGATATACATTAGAGACCCAAAAAATTCCACCAGAAAACTCCTAGAACTCATCGACACTTTAGGCAGTTTAAAAATTAATCTACAAAAATCAATAGCCTTTCTATATACCAATAACAAGCAATCGGAGAAAGAATACAGGGAAACCTACCAATTCACAATAGCCTCAAAAAAATAAACTATCTCCAAATAAACCTGACCAAAGACATCAAAGTTCTCTACAACAAAAATTTTAAATCTTTAAAGAAAGAGACTGGGGAAGATACCAGAAGATGGAAGGACCTCCCATGCTCATGGATTGGAAGAATTAATATTGTAAAAATGACCATTCTACCAAAAGCAATATATAGATTCAGTGCAATCCCAATTAAAATTCCCATGACATACATCACAGAATTAGAAAAAAAAAATCGTTAAATTCATATGGAAGCACAAAAGACCCCAGATAGACAAAGCAAACCTGAGCACAAAAAGCAATGCTGAGGGGATTACTATACCATATCTCAACTATACTACAGAGCTATAGTCATAAAAACAGCATGGTATTGGCACAAAAATAGACACATAGATCAATGGAACATCATTGAAGACCCAAACCTTCTGAGAACACAAAACTTCAGCCACCTGATAGTGACATACAATGGAAGAAAGACAGCATCTTCAACAAATGGTGCTGGCAAAACTGGATATCAACCTGTAGAAGAATGAAATGAGATGCTTATATTTCACCTTGTACACATCAACTCCGAATGGATCAAATGCCTCAATGGGAAACCGGAAACTGAAACTGTCGGAAGAAATCATCGGCAGCAACCTACAAGATATAGGTGTAGAAAAAGACTTTCTAAACCAGACACCAGTTGCCCAGGAATTAAGGTCAACAATCAAGAAGTGGGACCTCATTAAACTAAAAAGCTTCTGTACAGCAAAAGAATCGAGAAAGTGAAGAGAAAACCCACAGAGTGGGAAAAAATCTTTACCAGTGACACATCTGACAGGTTTAACATCCAGAAAATATGAAGAACTAAAAAACAAAGAATCAAGGAAGCAAATAACCCAATTAAAAGCTAGGCTAAAGATCTAAAGGGAGTTCTCAAAGGAAGAAATAAAGATGGCTAAGAAACACCTTAAAAAGTGTTCAACATCGTTAGTAATTAGGGAAATGCAAATTAAAACCACTTTAAGATTTCACCTTA